AACTGCAGGGAGTAGTGCTCGGCTTCTTGGAGAGACCAGACGGCGCACAGGTCTTGGATGATGGCTGAAAGCGGACGGTTTTGGTCGAACTCCAGAAGTTGCGGCATCTGATCCCATACGAGATATATAGTGGTATAGATTTGGTGGCAAATGAGTGATCTGTCAATACATACATAGTTTCCGGAAAAACTTGTGTCCATTTCGACCGCAATCTTCACGATGTGTCCATCGCGTGGCGCCGGCATTGTCTGTGTGTGTCAGTTGGCACTGGTGTTGATGACTGCGTCAAGAGTTGATCCAATTAGTGGTTACCGATTGAGTGATACTTTGCGTGAGAAAAACCTTTAATGCATGTGAAAAACCACTTCAAAAACTACTGACACAATGAATGTCTAATAAGAAGTAGATGTCAACTGAAGTCACACTCAATATGTGGTAAAATGTGGATCAGATAGTGTTGAAGAAGTGACGATAACAACCAAAACCACAATTATTTTGAGACAATCAATGAGCGGATGAGACGATGGGTTTGTTTTGTTGTCAAATGCTGTGAAAAGCAGTGAAAGCATAGGAAACGCCTTCATATGCAGTCAATACCGTACAGTAGATTCCTATGGAGAGGGGACTGGTATGTCGAGAGCACTGGTAGCCTTAACTGCTAATCCCTTTAATCAGTTGTGAAGTGTGCGCTAAACCGTTGTTTTAATTGCAATGAAAACTCACCACTAATTGATTGGTTGACAGGAAAGTCACTTATCTATGGGCGCAGGCTTTCAAAGCATTTAATTACAGTTATCTCTCGTATAACTCAACGCAAACTTAATCGCAATTTGCAAACAATTTGCAAAACGCAAACAAAATCCAAACTTTTGACTCAATGTTGCATTTGAAAACCAAATCAACATTTTTGGCGCAAAAAAAACACCAATAAGTCCAGTCCCGTAACCAACCAGTGTCCACATTATCTGTAGACACGGCTAATGCAATCAAACGCTAATTACAAACTACAGTACAATTAAAAAACTTAACCAAAAAAAATACAATACATTTCTCCATAAAAATAAATTGCAATCAAATTTGTTGTTATAATTCAGAAATTTATTACTTATTAAACAAAATGACACCAAAAATGCGATTATATTCTCGACGGGTAGAGCATGACTCGCACCCGGCGTCCGATGGCCAGCGCCGGCAGATTCCTCGCAAACTTGGCCCTCACGGCACCCG